ACGGAGCCCTGCTCCCTTTGCTGCTGCTAGGGAAGGAGCTGTCCCCGGCATCTCTCCTAGTTTCGGGTATTTTCTAGGTTGTGGCTGCATAATCCAATCTTCACATGATGTTCTCTCTGTATGCGTGTCTGTGTCCAAATTTCCCCTTTTTATAAGGACAACAGTCATATTGGATTAGGGATCCACCCTACTCCGGTGTGACCTCATCTTTCAAATGACGTCTACAATTACTCTATCCTGAAGTAGGGTCACATTTTTAAGGTACAGGAGGTTAGGACTTCAATGTAGGAATTTTGAGATGAAGGACACAGTCAGCCCGTAACAGAATGTAACTGTAGCTCACCCCACGGGGGGTTCTCAGAGTCTCCAGTGGAAGGAGGGAGCTGGGGTATTTATACCCCCACTGCCCATCTTGACCCTGCCCCACTGGCTCTGGGAACACACATAGGCAAAGCAGGTTCCAACATCATGAGGGGTGTCTGCAGCTAAGAGGTGCAGGGGCTGCTGTTGGAAGTGAGAGCTCACCAGGACCTGGTTGTCATGAAGATGGTTACAGTATCCAAGGGACTGTGGGCTTCTGCCAACCACCATCATTGAGACATAGAGGACAGACTCTTCACTCATCTCTGCCATCCTCTACCTTGGTGGGGACTGACTGGCAGGGTGGCCTATGAGTCAATGGCCTCTCTGCCTTCATTTTTCCACTTACAGGCCACACCAGCTGGTACCAGAACTGCTAGAGTGGACGATGCCCAAGCACCCCCATCTGTGTGCACCCCGACTCAGCTGGCACGTGGGGACGGTCAGCAGGTGGAGGGGAAGGGCCCTCATACCTGTCAGCCTCAACTCACTTACAGAGGGACCAAGGAGCCCCTGGGAGAAACAGGACCCCCAAATCAGTTAGCCGTCCTCATAATGCTCAGGAGTTCCAAACACAGCTCTTGAAATGTGGCGTCTGGGCCCGGTGAGGTGACTCATTTCTGTAATCCCAGCACTTTGGGAGGCCAAGGTGAGTGAATCACTTGAGGTCAGGATTTTGCGATCAGCCTGGCCAACATGGCGAAAACCCATCTCTACTAAAATTACAAAAATTAGCCTCAGAGGCTGAGGCAGGAGAATCGCTTGAACCTGGGAGGTAGAGGTTGCAGTGAGCCAAGATCGTGCCACTGCACTCCAGCCTGGGCAACAGAGTGAGACTCCATCTCAAAAACAAAAAAAGAGAGAAAGAAAGAAATGTGGCATCTACGTGCAGCAATGGGTGCCAGAAATGAGGCCACCCGGGAGGGGAAGACGGTCCTAATCTGGTAGGTTATACTCAGCACCAAAGCCTGGGGCCAAGAAGGAGTGAGTGCTCCAGGCACAGCATGCAGCGATACTAACACCAGTCCCCGCTCCAGCCGCCTGGCACTTCAGTGCTTGTGTGCAGTGAGCCTGAGGCCCCAGGCAGCAGTGCTGAGCTGGGGAGGGGCTGCTAGTAGCATCATACAAACAGGGAGGTGGCAAGGCTGTCTAGGATAGCATGCACACCTCTTCCCCAGGAGCGGGAACGGGTGGCCTGGTGGTGATGACAGCCTCATCCTGTAAGAACATCAGACCTGAGAAGTCCCAGATTGGCAAGTGACAACAGCAGGGACATCTGTGCCCTGCCTACAGGCAGGCATAGATGGTGGCATCAGTGGGATGGCCTGGGCTGTGCCCTTTGCAGCAGCATCAGTGGCTCTCAACCCTTGACCATAGACCCATAGCCGTTTAGGGAGGCTGAGGCCAGCAGAAATGGGGGGTGGGTGGGGCGCGGTGGCTCACGACTGTAATCCCAGAATTTTGGGAGGCCAAGGCAGGTGGATCACCTGACGTCAGGAGTTCCAGACCCGCCTGGTCAATATGGTGAAACCCTGCTTCTAATAAAAATACAAAGTTAACCAGGCATGATGGCACACACCTCTAGTCCAGCTACTCGGGAAGCTGAAGCAGGAGAATCGCTTGAATCTGGGAGGTGGAGGTTGCAGTGAGCAGAGACT